AAAAGATTGTTTTGCAGGCACCAGCAGGAGAAGTGGTCTCGGGGAAAGGAGTAGTGATCTGCAAATACCCGTCCGATCCTTCGGTTGTGCTCGGATACATCTCCACCGCCCTTCTTGCCGCCGCCTCCTTCGCCGGATACCGCTCCCTCTTTTATCCATACAAGGGTAAATCGGTCCCACAATCCGCATTTTTCGCATCCCATTGGTGCCTTTCTTACTTCTCCGTTGCATTGTAAGTACATCCGCAAACATATTCTGTTTTCTTTCCAAAGTAAAACAAATTAAAAATCGAATCTTGATTTTCTTGATTCTTCGGTAATGTAAAAAAAAATTAACAGGTTTACATCAGTTTTCGCTGCAATATTTCTGATATGGCCCACAGTGCAAGGACACATACACCACACGAAGAATGTGCACACAGATCTTTTATTCGAATGCCCCACTGCTAAAACGGGCTTCCTTGGCGGTGGTGCTTTTGCGTCTCTCAATTCGTCTCTCTTCTGGTTGGTTTGTTTGATGCTCGCAACGAATGTGAGGGAGGACTACTTGGACGATGCGGAGAAAAACGAGATAATATGATCGGAAAGAAAGAAAAAAAACCAAGAATATTTCACAGTTCATGGGGTAACTTTGCAGGTTTAAGTAGAAAAATTAAATGTCTGTGTACATAGTTTCCTTTGTACTATATTGCTTAAGTTTAGTCAGATCTTTCAGCTGTAATGGTCAATTTTTTCTTAAAGTTATTTCCGAACTGTTTAACATAAAACCCGAATTGTAAATCTTCAAGGTCGGATTTAGTTCACACTCGGTGAAATACATACAACGAATAATGATTATCTATCATTCATCTAAACACCACACGAATAAAGAACTATCGTTCCATATAATAAACTCTTCAAACTTACATTTTACGGTTACATGTCAAAATCACCGAAATTTAACATAATAGGTACCTGGTAAAAATCAAACATACAATTGGCAAAATTTTCTCACAAATCAAACATAGTTTCCTTTGTACTATGTTGCTTAAGTTTAGCCAGATCTTTCAGCTGTAATGCTTAATTTTTTCTTAAAGTTATTTCCGAACTGTTTACCATAAAACCCGAATCGTAAATCTTCAAGGTCGGACTTAGTTCACACTCGGCGAAATACATACAATGAATAATGATCTATCATTCATCTAAACACCACACGAATAAAGAACTATTGTTCCATATAATAAACTCTTCAAACAAACATTTTACGGTTACATGTCAAAATCGTCGAAAGTTAACATAATAAGTATCTGGTAAAAATCAAACATACAATTGGCAAAATTTTCTCACAAATCTATAAATGGTAAATACAGCTCAGCACCCAGCCCAAAGATGAACAATCGAAAATCACAAGGACTCGGGACTGGTTGAAGGTCTGATCTTGGAGGGCATCTGCACAAATCTCTGCATTCTTCCTCCGAATTTAGCGCTCGAATCTCTAGGAGTTATTGACATTTTATCCAAAGAACAATCAAACGCATCATCATCAAAGTTTTCTTCATCGTCACTCATTTCACTTCCATCACTCATTCTCCGATTTCCTCTGCCACTAATAGTATCGGCATCTTCTTCGTCACTTGTAACTTCGTCCTCATCTTCCTCATAAGCCTTCCTTACCGTTGACCAATACACATAGTTATCCCGAATATAACTGCAAAATAATAATGGACAGTGCATGTAAATTCCAAGTCCAACAAAGCTAAATAATAATAGTGACCATTGATAAAAGAAAAAAAAAAAAAAAAAAGGGACGAACCTGTCACATTTCCTTAAAAGGCAGGGATCAAATGGGAAAAACATGTCGAACCTTTCGGACCCACCAAACGCCCTAGAATGTTCGGATTCTAAGAGGCCATGGTCAAGGAAGCTCTGGGGCAGAGAAATTACATTACTTGCCTTCACCAGACGTAGAAATTCTTCTACTATTGATGGCAGGCATACCTGCACGGATAAACAAGAATGGAAAATCAGAGTTGATGTTCGACAAAAAAAAGAAAAAAAAAGAAAAAAAGCACTAGCACAAAATATGCAATTAGACAATTAATTAAGCTCAAATGCATAACCTGTAGTGGTTTGAAGGGACTCCCAAAGATGTCTTCGATACGCATGAGCACTAGTTGGGATTTGAGGCGAGGTACAGCAAGCATTTGTCTCAGGCGGAAACAGAGCACATACATAATTGCCTGCACAACAGTAAGCAAAACTATCAAGAAAGTTTATCGTTTTTTTTCGGAGAACTCGACAAAAATCTAAATGAAACCCATTGCAAAAGCTACTGGTGATGGGACAAAGTTTTCATACCTGACACGCAGCATAGAATACTTTATGAACTCTTGGATTTATATCACCATTATGGTTTTGGCAGTAGAGGAAACACCAGTTCACAACACTGAAAAAAAAAAAAGCACGGTGGAACTCAAGTCAGAAATATTCTTGGTTTGATGATTCGGGCAGAAAACAGAAATATGAACAGTATGACAAGCACAGCCACCTTTCGATTGTGAAAGCAGCAACTGTCACGGGCACAAATCTTGCACGAGCTAAATAACTAGCAAGGTATGCAACTGCACTCATTCTGCAATACAACATATTTCAAAGTATCTAACTTAGTAACTACAGCGACACATATAATATAAATAGAAATACACAATTGCATATCACGGTCTCCCCGCAGAAGATGAAAAATAAAAATCAGAGGAAATTAAGATCAACTTCTATACAATAATATACGTGAAGCGGTAGAGAATTAATCTTCAAATAAACCTTCTTACCTCCATTCGGGATTGGAATTCGTCATAAAGATTTTTAGAAGCTCATCTGTAAACCTAGTTCCACAAATTTCAGGATCCAACGAGCAAGCATAGAACATGACAAACTACAGAAGATAAATAGCAAAGTTAATCAAAAGACTGCGGCAGATTCATTGCCAATTAGTGTCGGGACACCATATACTATTTCTGATGACAGATGTCGTAAATACCTGAGTAAATTTCGATTTATAGGCGGTCATTATTGTTTTTTTAAATGACTCAAGGAAGGTAGCAAACACCTGAAGCATCATTAAATGGTGAACTGATTAAGAGATATGTGAAAATTTCACAACTGATTTAAAAGCATAATTTATGATAATACCTTATCTAGGCGGCCTCTCTCGTGACAGGAGTTAAAGTGTTCAAACGTGAGCACCATTAAACTATCTAGCTTTTGAGCAACTAAGTTTCCACTAAAAAATCTTTGTATAATTAAGTCCCTAGAAACCTGGAGATACAAGTTTGGTTATGGTATTAAAGATACAAAAGATGATAGAGATTAAGCAAATAAATGAAATAAAGACGAACGACAAAACGAGAGAGCAGGAACGAACTTTACACAACTCACAAGAATGGGCAACAAAAGTGTTGCATCAAATGCAAGAAAAGAGAATTACAAGGGCAATTAACTGAAAAGAACCTTATCGGAATCTTCTTCAATATGATCTTCTGCATGCCCCTCGAGATCTTCCAGTTCCATATCAAAGATACCCTTCTGGAAATCATCCTGCAAAATTTCATCCCATGCTATGTCCACCTACAATTCAAAATAGATAAAATAATAATAAATAAATAAATAATTTATCATCATTGCAAAGTCTCTTTTAACTACCACCTGTAACTCCTAAACAACTTACATCTAACTCTATGAGTCGGTCCACTAAGGAGTACAGCACTGAGCTCCCGACAAGTTCACCCATCGGACTATTTTCCAACCTCAACATACTCTCCACGTACATTACCATGATCTGCAATGATAATATTATGGGTAAATCAAAGCGAATCAAAAATACAAAGATGAATGCACTTTTATCATTCGTTTTCTACCGAATTGAAATGATATTTTTTTGCTAGAAAAGCTCATTGTATCTTATTACAATTGGAAGTACTACATGTAATTAATTGATAGAAAATTCAAGTTTCACCACGTGTCTAGCACAAAGCTTCTTGCAAGGTCATAATACTCGGAATTTATAAGAGGCATTTAACAAATTACAGTATCTTCCACCAAAGGTGTGCCTCACCATAGTCGGTGCGCATATTCACCTTGTAAAAGTTAATTTGCAGACCAGTTACAAGCATGCTTTTGCGATGACTTGGTGATGTAGCAAAATAGGTAAGGTAAAGCATGTTCCGGGAGTTGCTATCGAAAAAATTGTCTAATCATTCATATTATAGCATGAATCATTTTAACACACAGAGATAAACATTCGGGATAAGGTAGGGAGAGTGGACTTTAAAACCTAAAAAGACCTTACATAAATGCAGTCATTGATCAATAAAGAACGAGCATGAAAATTTGATCTTACAGGTTCCTTTGTGTATATGTTTGGCATTTTGACCCTCAATACCTCCTCTAATTTCTTAGGTAAAAGAGGGACTAAATGGGAAATATCTTTCAAAGTTGAATGAACACGTTCAAGAACTTGGGTCTTTTTAGCTATACCCCGAGGTTGCTTCCAAAAATCTACAGAATAATACGTAGATGAAGGACCAGATGGAGGCATGAAATTGGCTACAAGCGTTTCCAAGCACAACTCAACATATTCTCCCCTCGACGAAGCCTGTGACCGAAAATGGAAGAGGAAAAAACAACCAATAACTAATCTCAACTGTTAAAAAAATCCGAGCGGCATGACATCATAACATAAATAATTTTACCAACGAAACCAGCAATTCAACGAGTGCATCCATCACGTCAGTTCCATAATTCCACAGACTCATTCCACATATCTGCAATGCTAAAGACTCGTTACTAACAGAAAACGTGGATATCGCAGAAATGAACAGTTTAGTTTCGGTATATGAACGTTTGTGCAGTAACTCACAGCAGCAAGGAGAGAACGATGATGAACAATGTGTACACAAGAGACCGATGCAGTCACAGCTTTCAAACACGTCTGCCATGACATTTATAAAAAATTAAGAAGACGAACAAACATACTAGCTAAAGTTAGAAACCGAAAAACTTTCTCGCAAGAAAATCAGAATGTACCACGAGGGCCGCCACCTCCTCAGAGGAAAGACGTTCTCTATGGTGTATCACACCCACAAGCTGGTTATAAGAATCGCAATCCCCCTAGAAACCCGTAAAAATAATTAGCTATGGTTCGATTGAAAACCTGTTAAAAAAAAAAATTCAAGAACAATTACCTGAACAGCAGCTTTAAGCGCATTTCTAACTTGATAGTCCAACTCGGAATCGGTAAAAATTGGTTCTTCCATATCAGTTGCTCCCATTAATCACCACTTCCAAGCTCGAGAAAAAATTCACCGCCGCACACCTGAAAATACGCATTAGGGCTAACAATTTTCAATTCAATTTCAGAAACTTAAATTCACCAAATAGAAAAATTCCTCAAATACCCAGCATACAACACAACGAACGGGAAAGAAAAACGGCGCAGAACGATCTGATGAGCTATGGAAAATCGAAAAAAAAAATGGAGATAAAATAGAACAGTTACCTGATTAGGGAGACGAACTCAGCTACCAGATTAACGGCTATGGAGATTTCAGAGAGAATCTTCAGTTGGTCCCTAGTGTGTGTTCTCCTTCGGCCAAGACGTCAAAGAAAAAGGAGTTCTTGACGTAATTGCAGTTAGGGTTTCAATTCTATTATATATATGCCCTTCTCTTTGTGGCAAAATAGTAATTTCCCATTGGACTTTTATTTTTATTTATTTATTATTTATTTATTAATTCAAAAATACATTATGCCACTAGTGTCTAGTAGGCTCAAAGCAATGGCTTCCAAGTTCTAAAGTGAATAATCTTGTTAATTTATTTTGACCTATGTTCAATAGAAAACCTCATAATTACCTCCTAATTATATGGGTAAATTTAGAAAAATTAAGATTAAATAAATAATAATTGTCATTATTAATGTTGTAAGAGGGGGTTTGTCTAAGCTTATGCTTTAATCTATCAATTGCAATTGCAAGACAGACACGCGTCTTATTCCCTCATCTTCAAGATTGCAGATGACGCAAGCGCTTACTTTATCAATAATTTTATCGAAGATAAATTTAATGAATGATGTTTTAAGTCATGGAAAATACTTCTCATTAATCCACAAATTTACCGATTTTCAAATTATTTATTGTTTAGGGTGTATTATCCATTGATGAATTTCAACTTTGAGAAAAAAAAATTGTCGACAAGATTCCAAACAACTTCATGTGGTTTAAATTTCGATTCCACGGTGGTCACAAAAGAAAAAAATCGAACTAGACGTGAATATCACTGAGTTTAAATTATTACTATTATTGTTTTTATTACGAGTTTAATTCCATCTTTATAATTAATTAAAAAATATATATATAAATAGATACTAACTAATTCCCATGTTTCATACGTTTATTATTGTTACACATTTAATTAATTAATATTATTAATTTATTTTGCTTTATAATCTCTTCTTAATTGATTTGATATACATTCAATTTCATTTATAGTGGGGATTTACATTCCAAAACATGAATTATATAGAATATATTATACCCACACACATAAATACGAATAAACCCGAGTTTGTGTCTATATTCATCCCATTTAAGCCAATCCCAAAATACTTCAAATTCTCAACAAAAAAAAGAAAAAAAAAAAAATAATATTAATAATAAAAATAATAATAATAAAATAAAAAATCAGAAGTCAAAAGTCAGCAGTCATCGACTCTAATCAGACTACTACCCCTATTTATCTTCTTCATCACTTCTCCCAATCATCCAAGGGTTGAAATATTTCTTAGAGAGAGAAAGTTAGAGAGAGAGAGAGATCTGTATCTTTTCTTCATCAATTCAACTCTTTCTGTCTAAAAGATCTGTATCCATTTTTTTGTTTGAATTTGATCCGGTAAGAAAGATTAGTTTTTTTTGCTCTTCTTCTTCTGATGTTTGTGGATTTAGTAATTGAATTAATTTTTAGTTTTTAACATATATATTATTTTAATTTAAATGTGTAATTTGTTACAGGTGAGTTTGAGAAGCAATGGCGGTTACCATGAAGCAGATGTCTATCATAATCTCAACCCTTGGGGTGCTTTCCTTCATATTTGGGGTTATTGCTGAAAATAAAAAGGTAATCTTTTTATCCTATGAAAAAAAAAAAATGATGCTTTTATCATAATCATATGCAAAGATTACATCTTTTTTTGGTTCTTTTACTGAGTTTTAATTTGATTATATTTTCTGGTGTTTATTGTTTATTTAATGCCCTTCATATTGTTAGTTTTGGTTTAAAGATTGGATTTTTATGTGATGTTATATTGAGAATAACTGTGTGTTTGGATGCAATTTCTCTCTTATTGAAAAATAATTTGTCTTATTTTTCGATCCGGGGATAATAATTCGTCACGATTAACGAGGCCCTCTTCGTATATTCCACAAATTATTGATGTATGAAATTAGTATATTTCAAGATTAATTATGCACTTGTGCTATTCTTGAAGGAGCTAGTGTATGTACATGATTGATAATCTCTAGATCAAAATTCTTTACTCGTATCGTGTAATCATAAGAAAATAAAACATTGAAAAAGGAAATAATATATCAATCAATGTAGTAAAAATTCGTTCTTTTTCGTTTTCCGGTTATTTATTCGGTTGGATTTTGCAGCCTGCAGCAGGCACTCCGATAACAGGGACGAATGTTGTCATTTGCAAATATCCGTCCGATCCAACTGTGATTTTGGGATATTTGTCCGTTGCGTTTCTTGCCGTCTCCACCTTTGCTGGCTACTATTCCCTATTTTACCCCTACCAAGGAAAGTCTATTCCACAGACGGCTTTGTTCAAAAACACGGGCTTCTTCGTCTTCTTCACCATTGCCTTGTGAGTATTATATGCAAAAACCCATTGGTTTCTTGTCTCGAGTTTTATGTCTTTTTTCTCTTGTCTCGTCATTATTTAGCCGTCTCTATCAAATTGGTCCATCGTTACATTATACAACTAATCAAAATTGTCACTAACACAACAAATCAATAATCCCAACCCACTCAAGAAAACGATTGAAATATACAGGCTCGTTTAAATTTAGCTAGACGAAGACCCACATCTAGTATTCTTGTTAAAATCTTGGAAAAAAAACCCGAAGAAATCGGGGGAGCCAAGATGAATTTGATCTAAAAAAATAAAATCACCAATATTTTTTTTGAATATTTTTTTTTGAAGGGGTACAACTGGATTAGCAGCGGCAATGCTGTTATGGCCGACAGTGACGGAGCAGTTACACCAGAGTCGTAATGTTCACCACAATCTTGAAACGGAGTGCCCGACGGCGAAAACGGGTATTTTAGGCGGAGGAGCTTTTCTCTCTCTAGATTCTTGCCTTTTCTGGTTGGTTGCTTTGATGTTGGCTGATAATGCACGTGTCGATTACTTTGGAGAATCCGATGATAAGGTTGCAGGTGGTTCCGGTGAGCCTATCAAGGCCACTGTTTAAGTAGTAATTGTATTATTATTATTATTATTGTTATTATTATTATTATTATTATTATTATTATTATTATTATTACCTTCAGACTTTAATGTTTTTTTTTCCAGTTACTGTTTACTATGGACACCTGTGGGTTTTAAGAATGAAGTGAAACTATCACAAGTTGTAAATATTCATCTTCTTTTAATATTACTTTAGAGTTTAGAATTTTTTTTTATAATTATATTTAATTAATTTTCATTGTTTTTTTTTTTTTTTTTTTTTTGTGAATTGTTATGATCTTTTGTGAGAAAATGGTTAGTAAAAGAATAATAAAAGCAAAATATTACAAATTACAGCCACCCCTTGAGTTACGGCCAAATTACGAAAAAACTCTATTGTTTGGGTAATTATAGCCAACCCCTCCTTTTAAATATTTTTTGCATAAAATTTATGTAATTTGGTTATCTACCGAAGATAATCGTATATTCAGTTCGTTAAACGGTATGAAATGTTGGGGTACTGAAATTTCGTTAAACGGTATGAAATGTTGGCGTATTGAAATTTTGGTTCGGTTTTAGTGTTTTACGGATTTAACATCCCTAAATTCACCTCTGGTAGGGTATTTTCGTAAGATAATACATAGTTGAGGGGTGACTGTAATTACTCAAACAATAGAGGAATTTTCTCAATTTAACCATAACTCAGTGGTGGCCGTAATTTTCCATTTTTTAAATATACTTTAATATAAAATAAACAATTAATTCATATATTAGTACTTAAAAAATAAATACAGGTCATTTTTTCTTTCGAAAATTTTAATTATAATTTATAATAATAAATTTCTAATAATAATTATCGTTTTATTAATTTTAATTTATTTTTTGCAAAGAGACCTAAAAAAACACATTATTTTGACGGTGTAATTACTAATTTGTCCCCATTGAGATCTGTCTCAAAACCCTAACCACCGTCCGCCTCCTCCATATATTCTCGCTCCTATTTCACACAGAGAGAGAGTGAGAGAGAGAGAGAGAGACATACTGCGAGGAGCTGGAGGCGGATTTCGACGGCGGCATAGACCGTCGACGGCGGCGCTTACTTCCTCCTTCGAGGTTAATTCAATTTCCAAAGGAGCAAATTTTGTTTCCTGAAAAAAAAAAATAGTGAAATTTGAATAAATTGATTTAATTTTGTTATTAAAATGAAAAAAAAATGGTAGCTAATTAGCCAGTCATACTATATAAATCAGTATGAATGGTCAGTAAGCTCACCTACATAAAAATGGTGATAATCTCATATTCTTGAGGGACTTTAAAATAAATAGTTTCTCATTGAGGTTATTACCTACATCTCCAATTTTATTTTTATTTTTTATTGTTTTTTTACACCTTTTGTTGTGTTTTTAAATCTAAATATTTATTAATTACTCCCTTTCGTCGGCTTTTTTTTCCAAATTATTTTGAACGGAATTTGATGTTAAATTAATTTTTAATATTTTTATTACAGTAGAATAATATACAAGCTATTATTATAACTCCAATTTTAATTTTAGAACAATTCTTGAAACCTTGAGGAGTTGAGAAAATTAAGGGTGGATTTGTAAGCTGTGAAATTATTTTTTCATATAAGAGAAATAAACAAACAATGAGGACTAAATTGCAAAATTTTGAAACTTAAGAAACCTACTCATAATCTTGACATGTTGTTCTCTAGCACCAAATCAAACTACATTTAAAGTGTTGAGCTAATTGTAATTTTTGAATTTTTTTTTAATTAAATGTTAAAACCCTAGTTTGAGATCGTAAATCTACGTGGTTGGAGAGCTGGAGAAGTCAATTAGATGATTCAAACCGGTCCGGCATGTGTGACAGACACAGCCATCCGATTTACGTTTTTCGTCGTTTGTTGGGGAAATCCGGAACGGAGAGGTCGGTTCCCATCCCATTCGGGCGAACCCCGTATACTTGTGGAAATTAAAAAAAAATATTAATTGTTTGTAAATTTTCTGTTGCATAATTCATTTTTTATTTACAAGTAATTTTTGTGAGATATTCAGAGCTGTTCTCTTTGTTTTCAATCCCAGAAATAACATTTGTTTCATATTCAAAGTGTATGATCTACACAAAAAAGTTAATATATACAGTTGAAATAATTTTCGAAGCACACATTAGATTGATTAAACACAGCACAAAATTGACATTAAAGGAAAAGGGTAAATTACTACCACCCCTGAGGTATGGTTAAATTACGAAAACCCCCTTCTTGTTTGGGTAATTACAATCACCCATTAATTTTAAATCTTTTTACACGTCCACTCTTGTGGTTTCAAATTTAGTGGAATTTTCGAGATTATATGGAATATTATCACTTTGGTACCCATTTTACCCCATTCGAACTCTACTTTTTGAGGCAAAATGATCATAGTATAAGTTTTTTGGCAAATGATCATAATATAAGTTTTTTGGCTTGTATATGTCAGATTGTTGTGCATCAGAAACTGTATTTTTACACAAAATGAGTACAAATTAGAGCACATTACACGAAATCTAGATGATTTTTTTGTAAATTTACCATACCTAAGGGGTGATTGTAATTTACCCAAAAGGAAAATGACTGATGAGAAGTCTTTATTACGATGAAAAAATCGCAACGGGAAACACAAAAAACACAATGCATTGCCGAGATTCCCTTTATTGTCTCAAAAATTCGTAGGTTCAAGAAACATGCACAATAGAGAGCTCTACAATAGACCGTTGATCAAACCTGTATCCGTCTAGCTCTCAATGTATTTCTACACACACTAGTATATCACCTTGATCAACCAATACAAATTACACCCGATTTTTCACTACGAAACGTGAAGGTTTTTGACCCCCCCCCATGTTTCCACTTTCCTCCAGTTTTCTGCTTTATGAACTGTGTGTCCGGGTTTTCATTACATTATATTCCTCATAACTCAAAGACAGCAAAATGGAGAAACAAGAATTCTCGAGAAAATCCTCAAATCTGTATTTTTTAGCTAAGCAAATCCTTAAATAAGTTGGGGTTCTGACCTGACGGTGTCACACCCATTTGCCTTACGCGTGCATCTTTCCCCAAAGCCTCCTTCAAATTTGGTCCTTTTTGCAATTGTGGTGTCGAATCTTCAACTCTGATCCCTTCAAGACCGTTCCCGTTGGTATCAACGCCACTCTGATTCGGCACATTTAGAGACATGTCAGCAAAGAGAGACGAGTAATCAGACGCCTCACCGGAACTTATTACAGGGGCGGTTGTGTCTGCAGTAAAATCAAGAAGGCCTTCCAATTCCTTGAAAGGGTCTACAGACGGTGCACCGCTAGAAGGTTCACCCATGTCCAGCAAATCTGGAGGAGGCTGTGTCGGTTTTTCAGCAGCGGTATTGGTAGCCATAGCCTTGGTGGCATGAGACTTATCCGAAGCATGATTATGAGGTTTCGAAGATCGTCTCCCCTCGGATTTCGACGCACCGCCGAAAAGCGAAGCCGCCAGTTTTTGCTTTTCTGGCGAAATCTCAACCACTTGCTTCTTTCTTGAATCGTAAGATACATCTCGTGCTTTAGAGTTAGAATTGCTGACTGTGTCACGCTGAGCTGTCTCATTTGGAATCTTCACAGTGTCGTTGCTTGAAGTGGTGGGTGGGGCAGGGGAGGAGTAAGTGGGCCCGGCCCCACTTCTTCTGGACCCCATCGAGTCTTAGCTTGAGTTCTGATGCAGCAGAATCAGAGGCAGATGGAAGAGATGTAGTCGGTTGGAAGATATCTGCAACATACGATAGTTCTGTGACAGGGACAAGTTCGGTAGAGGATGGAGGAGCATTTGGAGGCAGTGAGGGTTTAGGTAGCTCGTAGGCCTCGAACCTAAGAGTATGAGTAGATGGTTCGTGATCTTCGTGAGTCATGAAACTGCTAATGCTCAACATTCCAGAGCGCTCACTCTCGGGGATATAGGGCTCAGCGCCGTTTTCCAGGGATTGTTGTACGTAACCATCAAGAAACGCAAGATTCTTGTCAATCTGCAAAAAAAAGAAAAAAAAAAGAAGAAAAAAATGGGGAAAATGTTATACAGAATGAAGATAGTCAAAGTAGCAAGTAGCAACAAAAAGTGAGCTGCGACGAGTAAATATGAAGCCTTATATACACAATATATATATTCATAAAGAAAAATGTTTCTAGGCCATTGATATATGCATATTAAAATATGATGAATCACAAAAAGATGAAACCACCTTATATTGCAATCAAACTTAATAAAAGATAATTCTAGGTGAATGAAGTATCATATGCATTTGGATACATGTACCAATATCTCGCCAATAGCATGCTAAGTGTTCCTTTTCTAATTACCTTAACTGGTTTTTGACAAATTAGCAACCAGGAATAAATCTCATGAGATAGTGGATTTTTAGATATCGGAAGAGAGAAGAGTCCATCAAACTTTCAAGCAAAATATGCTACCACAATTTTAAATAGCCAAAAAGTATGGAGTCTATAATCGAATTCACAAGTTGTTATTCATCATAAGCCACGCCAACAATGAGTTAACCCATTAAAGGACCGACAGTGAGGGTAAATGAACTAAAATTATATTGTGATGGAAAAAATTACCTCAATGTCATCACAAGTAGAGTTGATAGGCATTATTTTCTCTACAGCATGAGCATCTACATTCAAGATTGCTTGAAGCTCATAGGCCCGCTGCTGAAGGTCGGTCGAGTTGGATGCTAACAATTCTTCAATCAATGATTGGCACTGTAGCAAGCAAGATTTTACCGGTATGAAATTTTTTTATAGGTTCAAGTAATAGAAGATTTAGCGTTTGGAGAAAGAAAAGAACATGAATTTCAAGAAGTTAGTAGAAATTCTTTATGAAAAAAGATATTAAAAGAAATCTAAGTTTTCGTCCAATTACATCAAAACATTTTTAATAAATATATAGCCAAGTCGTACTGCAAACCATCAATATTGGTACTGAGATGGGGATGATGCATTAGAGATGTACTTGAGACACAGTTATAATATTAAAACCACCATATATAATCCTAATTGGCTACCTCGGATAGTATGTCCACTGTTCTCCCAGCTGCTATTTCAAATGAATATATCTTCAGAAGTGCTGTTACTGCATATGCCTTCAAAACAAGAAGGAAAAACAGAATTACACAGATAGGCCAGATACTAAGCAGCAATTAACAAATCAATTTATAATTCGCAGCTTGAAACAACATAAAGTAGCCAAATGGAGAAAAGATATTGTTTACCGATCATTATTCACCTGAAACATTAAACAAATTACAACTAGACGGCTAGACAATAAATACAGCACATGTGCCATTCCTGACACATCAAGTGGGGAAAGATGCATAAAATCAGAGATTCAGATTTGTTACAACCCCCTTAAACTTGGAGCAGGTCCTTTACAAGTAGCCATTAGAACTTCAATATTGCGAAACCCTTTATTTAATCTAATCATGGTGTTTCACAGTTAAATCAGATACGTAGATCAGCCAAAAAAAAAAAAAAAAAAGTAGATCAGCCCAAAAACTAGAGGTAAGTGGTTTAGTAAAGAAAATTAAATGGACCATCCAAGTAAAATTATTTTTGTGAAATCTAACAGAAAAGCCACGTTCTCTGCACTAAATTACAAGCAACTCATTTGAGAAACTCTCTATAATGAAAGGAAACATATCAATATAGCACCAACGTAAGTTGCGGATGTCATAATAGTTCTGAATTGGTGAATGTATTTTTTTTATGTTTTCAAAATTGTTCGGCATCAACCTTACTAAGTTAGCTCATTACTCCTATTATTTCAGAGAGGAACTTTTATGCTTAATTTTAAGCTGGGCTAATAATTTTGAACCTCTGTTGTTTATTATTTCAGGTTTGCGATTTCATTTTGTAGTTCTATGTTGTAAAGAAAGACTATATATCATATGGCCAATTTGGAGCATTTGGAACTGATAAGATTTTTGTAACACCAAATAGTTAGTTATAAGAACATTCCACAGTAACCAGTTTATCACAACATCATAAAACTAATTCATCAAGGTCACTAGCTATCACTATATTTTTTGTGACTCTAAAGTGATGATAAACTTGCTTAGGGGATTCAATAATTGACTACCCTTAGAATTAATGTTCTGATGCATTCATATTTTCTGTTATTCATAAAAGTTGGATCATTAAATTTCAGTTGTCCCACTTCTAATTCACTGAAGCTATATGTTGTCACTTAACGATTTGCATTATCAGGCATACTAACAGGTAGCTTGTTGTTACAAAAGTTAACTTTTCAAATGGTTATTTCTAGATTGTAAGAGAAGCAGTTAAATATGTGGATGGAATTCTTTTTTTCTTGAAAAATAAATGGGAAACAATATAGAAGCTAAGCGATGAGTTATTCACATTAGAAGGCTAGGAGCAAATGCACAAAATTATAATCAACAATAATATTTTATTTCTCAAAATTAAAAAAATAACCTGAAGAAACAAATATGGAACTGGTGATACACCAACTTTTGAAACTGCATGTGCGATAATTTATAGCACATGTTACTTTCGAATGTTAAAATGCAATTGCACCATAAGACATCATGCACATCGATAAAGAAGAGACTTACTTTCACTGTGTCATCTGCTGAATGTGCCTCCGCCACATCACACAACTTCCCAGTGATATATGAGGCAGAATACTTCCCATCTGCAGTCCCATATTCACCCAAGACCCAACAAATCACCTGAAATGTAAACCAAGTTAAGCACAGAGAGGGGGGGGAGGGGGGGGGGGGGGGGGGGGGGTTAAATAAAACCCCCCTTGAAAATAATAAAATAAGACAAAAGATGGAACAGTGGATGTGATATGACATACTTGCAGGAAGGCAGATGGAAGTTTCGGCTCCCCCATGATTCGAAGATACGACTCCACCTGCACTCAACAGATTAATCTAGATTCTATTTAGATGTCCTAACAAGAGCACAATCAAAATTATTATCCATCAAATCAGATTCAAGACAGCTATACGTAAACAGAAAAAGTCACACACATAAAGTACAAACTTATTTTTGGAAAATACAATATCAACTGGAGGGGACAGAACAAGATCTGCGACTGGGTATAGAATCAATCAGATTTTAAATCCAAACAAAGCACTGCGGTATAAATCTCCCAATTTTATTTGTGAATCCAATATAACACATAATCAAGAACATGTCAGGCCACTGGTACAGTAGAGTTTGTAGATAAGAAATATGAAATGGGCCCAATAAGTAAGACTGGTCTTGTAGAGCACTTAAGTTCAAACAATTCCTATATGCTACCCATTATGACACTTTTCTGGAGGTCCTGTTTGGAGGGAGGAGTACTAGAGTAGCGTTAAGTCTAACTGAAGGAAAAGATGATTTACCTGTCCCTCGAAATAACAACACCCCCTCAAAAGGAAAAAATAATAGTCACTAAAAATTTAACCATCTAATATGGTATTGATTAATACTAAATCATGAATAGCTCAGGATGTGTTATAAGCATATTGACAAGCACCGAGTTGAGAGCAACAAATATACTGCAACATGAAATCCAATCAGCAGATATTTCAACAAGTAAAAACTGATTTTTAGAAGATAAATAAACATCTAATAAACTGAGGTGAAACCAAATAAATAAACCAGAACAAAACTCAGATCCCAAAAGAAACATTACAGCAGATGATCTAAGCTGACTATCTGCAGTATCGTCATCTTCTCCAAATCCCTCAGCAATCAAGCGCATCAAGTTATGGGCAACTTTAGCATTCACCAGGTCCCCTGCGTGCTCAAATACTTTATTCATAGTCTGATAAATAAAAGACATAAAAGGGAACATATCAGAAACACATCAATAGAAAAGTGTTATTAGGAGACAAATAGTTAAAAAGCATAATCAGTAAGCTAACCTGTATAAACCATTGGTTGCTTGGTGCAAATTGTTCTGCAAGTTCAACGCATCTGGATGCTATTTCAGTTTTGTAATGATTATCACTGATACTTATCATGTACTCAATCATACGGTCCACAATTACTTCTACATTTGATGACTTAGTCATTTTATAGAGCAGTTCAAATGTCTTGCGTTTTAGGGTATCATCTGGGTCCTGAATGACAGATATAGGCTTGAAGTTAAATGAAGGACTACTTCAATCATGACAAGTAATTACCACATGTAACCAAAATTACCAGATGAAATTTAATGCCAACTATTTTTAGTTGAAAATATTTAGATGGAGATTTCAAGGAAAAACGAAAATTAAAAGGTCATAAAATCTATGACGGAAAAGTATGATTATCAACATTCAAATTAGAGGCCACAACACAAGAAGTTACCTGTGTTCTTTTCCCAGCAAGGGAGAAAATTTAAATTCATCTACACGAGCGAAGAGAACTACCCAAGCAAAATTTATGTATCCTATTTCATATCCAAAACCTCTAGGTTCTAGCATCCATTAAGTTTCATCATCAAATCAAGTTATGAAAAACACATTTTCACTAATCATGATGTCTTCTCATATAAAAGATAGTGTCATTTGCTTCCCACTGATCCTTATTATGTGATTGTGTTGATAGGCATTCAGGGGCAGCCAAATTCATGGAGATCAAAACTTTATAACAAGACTAGATAGCAAAATAGACAGATAACCACCACTTATATGAGTCATATAAGACCAGTAAAAACTTGAGAGTATGTGATTCAAAAGAACCAGAAATGCAAGCACAGCTTCATCAGTAACATCGAATCGAAAACTACTTGCTTCCAATTTCATAACAACAAAGCAAATATTCTCACCTCTAAGCAATCAATGACAGCCAGTTGGTGCTGTTCGGCTATATCAGGGCTTATCTTTATGAGTCGACTAAGAGCAGCAATACCAAGATATTTCAGGTTGTGACTGTCACTCTGTCAATTGAATAAAATGCAGTTGGATTTACAATGCCATATTAAAGTACTCTTATTTATAAGTAATACTATGCAAAGTTTTCGGAATACAAACTTTAAGAAATTTTGAAATAGCATCAGCAGCAGCTTCAAGCAACTTTGCGTTGGGGTGTAATGATGAAACACAGCAAATGCACTCGTAAAGGATGGCATTCCCGATATTGCTTGTTGAATCACCTTTCCTCATTATGTCGCCCAAAATTGTGTACATCTGTTCACTCGCCTTTTTGTCACCACTACCCAGTACGGCTAGAATTTTCAACAATTTGATCTGCAATACAATGGACAACTATCTGTAATTAGTGAACAAATATAAAACGAGGGCACAAACAAAACAATATCATAGTTTAGGCAGTCCTCTTTGCAGAAGAATCATCCATGTAAAAATCCACATTCTCAGCAATGAAATATCCTATCCAGCTTCCTTCAGAAAGAGCTCTATGCATTTAGCAAGGCTATTTCATTTTCTTAAAGATCATTCCTCAAGATCCTTAACTATATCTTAAGGAGCACATATGTCATACTGCAAGTACATATGGGTCCAGAGGAAGGATTTTGTGGGTTGTAAAACTATCATATAGAGGACAAGATTGGGTATGCAAAAAAGCAACCTCGTGATTACAATTTGAAAAGCATGCTCTAAACAATACGTCAATCCCATGTCAAACAAAAATTATTGGAACGAGATTTATTCTTCTTCTCACCACATCTTGCAATAAATAATAAAAAATTGTATCAGGGAGAAAAATGATGTATAGATGAATGAAAATGAGATGAAGGAAAAAGTCAGGCTAGCCTGAATGAATGGAGCAGGCATCTGATGATAGTCATAACTCTTCGGTAGTCTGCGTTCTGCTACTTGCTTAAGAATGTTTACAAAGCTAACCACCAGATCCTTATACTTGTCAACATCAAGCGTGATGAGATCAAAAAGCGGGCAAAGCGTCGCACCCATAACACCAGGATCATTGTCGCAAAGCCTCTGCATCAAAATTAATTGTTCGGGAAAAATGAGTACTTCCAGAAACCAACAAATTTCGTACCTTATGGCTTATGCACATATAGTTCATAGAATTTTATCATCTAAGCCATCTCTAAACACCTCATATGATTGACTGAGACCCAGAAATACTGCTTGATTTTTTTTTTCATAAATCATTAGGATGGGTATTAGAAATAAAACTTGACACTTCTAGTGGCTAAACAATACATAGTGTAGAACATAAATAAGAATATTTTCATATGTTCCTACTACATCCTCTGTGCGAGTTACATTTCTTTGTATAAATGGCAACTTCTTTTTTTTTTTTAATATAGTCTAAATGGTAAGGTTACTGCATGCTTCTAAATGCAATAAGTCGTCAGAGAACTTCATTCCTTAAAAAATTTAGTCGTTCTGAACATTTCCTCTTCTCTCTGCTTCTCCTCTATTCTAACTACTCATCTTTGTTACATCTAATGAAGTGGAGCATACATGAATATTTAATCTTTATCAGCACTGTAGTACGTTAATTTATTTATTGCAAACAACAAGTCGAACCTCATATGGTTTCTGATGCCGAAGACTAAGTAAAAACACAAAACAGAATACTCCAATCCTTCACCATTAATTTAAAAACACATGCACATATATATAAGTGAGCAGCAGCATGGTATCATATACAAAATCCAGCACACTACTCAACTTTCTCGTCCCAACGTTTTCATATTTGAATTAATAAACCGGGAAGTACTGTCATATCCGCCACTAGCATCAAATTCTTCTAAAATGGGAAAAATAAATATAAGAAACTCATTAATGTGAACTCTAACCCTCTAAGATAGATGCACCCATATTATCTACAAGAGAGGGGGAATGTGCACCTTACGGAAATTGGAAAGGAGATGGGAAACCGACCCCGGAGACCTCTGACTGAACCGGTGAAGCGCCATCACCGCTTTCTTTCTCACCGCCTCCTTCTGATGCCCCAACAACTCCACCACCTGCGGCAAAACCGCCGGAATCGTCTCCTCATTAATCAACCTACACACGGCATTCAACGCGGCGCAAACCACCAAATAATTATCGCTCTTCAAGTCCTTCTGTATCGTGTTCACAATCAGGATGATCAAATCGTGATCCTCGTTCAGAAACAAAGTCACCGTCAAGTACCCAGTTCTCTTCAACAGCAGATTGTCATCGTGGGTCATCTTGACAGCGTGAATGTACCCGAACGAGGCATCGTGTCCGAGCATCTCCACGTAGAGGAGGCGGATTAAGTACTCCTTCAGCTTGAACTTCGGCGTGTTCGGATCGGACAGCCTGGCTTTCAGGGTCTCGATTTCGCGCAGCACAATGCGGTCTTCCTCCGCTTTGGATCGAGCCTCGCCGATCGATTTGATGAGGTCGAGGAACTCTTTTGACTGCCCGAATCCCCCTTGGGAGCCCATCGCGAGCTCCCGACCAATTGTTTTCAGCTGCTCCAGCTTTGAAGATTTTCGAAATTAAAAAAAAAAAGAGATTGAACAGTGTTGGATGGATCAATCTCCGACCAAAATGATCGAAATTCAAAACCTAGTTGTACGAAATTTTGCGAATTTGAATTGTGATTTAGGGTTTGGCAGATTTGGGGGAAACCTGCTCAGGGAACTGATAAAGATCTAGAGAGAGAGATTAGGGTCTGAAAAAAAAAAATTTGTGTGTGTGTATGTATATGTGTATGTATAGGTGTATACACGTATATCGTGTAGATGTGGGGAGAGACGTACAGAAAGAGAGAAGACGACACTTCAACGGGAGATCACTACTAATTGTGTGACATTTTTCACTGCAATTTTAATTTGCTAATAATTGGCATTTTAACCCCTATAATTTCGAGAAATAACATTTTTGCACCACCAAAGGTAGAGAATTCTGAATTCGTCCTCATTAAGTTAGGGACATTTTCGTCTTTAAATATATATAGAAAAAATAATTTGAAAAATAGCACAATCCGATTAACAGCTGGCATAAAATGGAAAAATGGGCCCTAATCCATTAGTTAGTGGGCTTAAAGAATCATTTATTAGCCCATAAACGAAAACTGTCTTTTCCCGCTATATTTCCAGTTTCTTCAAAATTCAACAAAAAAACAATCTGATATCCTCTAACCAACGAAGAGAGAGAGAGTATTTTCTAGAGAGAGAAAGTACGAAATTCGGAGACTCAATAACTGTTTCACGATCAGAGAAGACGCGATGGAGACGAAGAGAGAGAGAAAGTGTGAGAGAGAGAGAATGATGCAATTATTTTCTAGAGAGAGAAAGTAAGAAATTCGGAGACTCCATAACTGTTTCACGATCTAGTTTTCATGCAAACTTTTTTTTTTAGTCTACAAGCTTGAAAGTATCACCACCGGAATCAATTGTATTTGTGTATGTATATAAAATCTTAATGCGCGTGTGTACCTTGAATTTACGATTCTGTTTTTCGTTCTTCGTTTTCATTTAATTTTTTTTTGGCCGGATTCTGTGTCTTAATTACCCCGTCAACTTCTTGATAGGAGCTGAAACTTCGATTCAATTTTGGTAAATAGGTTTTGATTCCGTTCTTGATTTGTTTCTCGTTTTCTTTTTGGCACCTGATTTTGTATGTTAATTCCCCGTCAACTTGTTGAAAGTTTTGATGGCAGTGGATTTGAAAAATTGGATAAATAGGTTTTGATTATTTGTTTTTTCGTAACCTTAGCTTGGAGAAATCGGTTTAATTTACCGAAATTTGAAGTTTTGATTATTAGGGCACCAACATCAGCACATATCAATGGATGTTCAAATTAGAGAACAATGCATTTGTGTCGAACAATGTTCGATAGATATGTAAGTAGACCCACATTATTAATTTTTTTATCGATCACTTATGATCGAAAATAAATAATTACTATTAATTTTTTTCTCCTACAGATTATGTTTATGTTTACTCAACCGTAGACCATATCGAGAATCCTATCCTTGCACAAATTGCCCGAATAAGGGTGAGAAATTGGGAAACGTAACCAACGATGGAGTCGCAGCCCCAAAGCTGTTTTGGAGGGAAATAACGAAAATGCTGCTATACCGGGGACAATAATAATCCAATGTAAGTTAACGTAATATTCAACTGGATGGAAGCTATAATTTAAACATATAACTTTTTTTTTATGTTCAGGAACAAAGATTTGAGCATGGAATCAGAGGTAAGGAAACTCTACGACGAGTTACGGCAGATACATTCATCAGTGAACTTTGTTCGGGTGTTGGGAAATTTACGATTGTGCGAACGGATGAGTACCAAAAATTGGTGTCTGGCCCCTCCTCAAGTGACGATCCTGCTTCAGCAAAAAGTCGGAAGCAGCTCGGCGACTCACACGTACTACGCTTGCCCGCATTTAAGGTGCCCACACAATTTGATAGGCTGCCCGCATTTAAGGTGACTCACACTTACTACGTTTGTCCGCATTTAAGGTGCCCACGCAATTTGATAGGCTGTCCGCATTTAAGGTGCCCACGCAATTTGATAAGCAGAGGATTTCCAGACCAAGCAGCCCAGGAGAATCATATCTTATCATGCATATACAAGCATGTTGTCACGGACTTGTTCCTTAACAACGAACCGTGCGGCCTTAGCTCTCCTTCTCGCCCCTCGCGATAGCTAAGTCAGCCTCTCCCCAAAGTGTTGCGAATGCTAAGTGATGGAAAACGAAGGAATAACTTAAGAAGATAAGAGAGTTTGTAGGAAAATACTTTTATTGCTTAAGTGCTTGGATTCTTGTTGGATTTGTTGGATGATTACAAATGAGGACCCTACCCCTATTTATACTAAACCACCTCCTTAATGGACGGTGGAGATCTATTTGATCTAACGGCTAGGAGTTGTTCACTAGAACACTCCAAAGAATTCCTACAAGATATGGGAGGGTTCTAGAATATTTTCTAGAATCCTTCAAGAATATCTACTTCTCCCTACACATTTGGGCCAACTTGGGCCTAACCCTATTTGGGTTAACTTTTGGGCTTTCTTAACCTCCAACCCAATGGAAACTGACAAAGGGTTGGGCCAAAACTGACGGGCCGTGACATCATCCCCGCCTAATCCGACGACGTCTTCGTTGTCTCGAACAAGTGGAGACGATCTTGAAATTGCCATAAGTCTTCCTTAGTCTCCCACGTCGCCTTGGACTCGGGTAGCCCCTTCCATTTGATGAGGTATTGAATACTCGGTGGAATATCCCTACGTCGCTTCAATTGACGCCGAGCACTTCCTCGATCTCCCTATCAAATGACTTAGTCATGATGGGTGGTGCTCGGTGTGACTCTCCTCGACTCGGGTCTTCCTTGTCTTCGTGATAAGGTTTCAACATACTTACGTGGAAGACTGGGTGAATTTTCAAAGAATTTAGAAGTTCTAGGCGATACAAGACTTTATCGACTTTGGCGATCACCGGGAATGGTCATTCGTACTTCCGCACAAGTCCTTTGTACATGCTCCGCAACGCCATGAACTGTTGGGGCAATAGTTTCACCATCACTTGGGCCCCAACGTCGAATTCCCGTGGTCGTCTTTTGTCGTCCGCCCATTTCTTCATACGTCGCCTAGCCTTCTCAAGGCACGCCCGAGCTAAGTCGGCTTGTTCCTCCCACGACTTAGCCATCTTCAATGCTCCGGGACTTCTTCCATCGGTTGTCGTAGCCAAAGTTTGTGGCGTAAGCGGCTGTTGTCTCGTTGCAAGCTCGAATGGACTCCTCCCCGTGGCTTCACTCCGCTGCAAGTTGTAAGAAAATTGAGCCACGTCAAGGAGCTTCGCCCAATTCTTTTGATTGGCTCCCACAAAGTGCCATAAGTAGCACTCGAGTAGGGCGTTCACCCTCTCCGTTCTCTCGTCGGTTTGGGGGTGAAAACTCGTTGAGAAGCAAAGCTCGAACCCCAAAAGTTTGAAAAGCTCCCGTCCATAATCGCCCCGTGAAGCGTGGGTCTCGATTGCTTATGATGTTCATCGGTAGTCCCCAATACTTGAGGACGTTCTTGAAAAAGAACCGGGCTGCCTCCTCCGCGGTGCAATTCCTCGGGCATGAATGTCCCGTACTTTGAAAAGCGATCTATCACCACCATGATAGACCCGGACCCCTTGGATATCGGCGAGGCACTAATGACATCCATTGAGATCGACTCCCATGGTCGGTCGGGGATTGGGAGTGGTTCGAGTAACTCTGTCGGCTGCTTGTTCTCGACTTTGTCTTGTTGGTACACAAGACAAGTCTTCACATATACATCGACATTGTCCCGCATGTGAGGCCAAAAATAGGCCGTCTCGAGCAACGCCATTGTTCGCATTTGGCCCGGATGCCCCGCCCACTTGGAGTCGTGGCATTCCTTTATGAGGTCCTTCCTCAAGCTGCCCCACTTTGGAACGAAGAGTCGTTGTCCATTCGTGTAGAGTAAGTCGTCCTCTACCCAAAATTGCCTCGTCTTGCCCTCATTGACGAGTCGGATCAGCTCATTGGCCATTGGATCATGTTCGAACCCTTCTCGGATCATGTCGGCCAAGTTCCCCCTTGTCGATCTAATGGCTGCGAGTTCGTCTGTTCTACTCAATGTGTCGGCCACAACGTTTGCCTTCCCTGGTTTATACTCCAAGACGTAGTCGAACTCCGTTAGAAAGTTTTGCCACCGTGATGCGAGAGTTTCTTCTGCGTTTGGAAGTAGCTTGTGGCAACATTGTCCGTCTTGACCACGAACGGTGCTCCGAATAAGTAGTGTCGCCACATCTTAAGGCAATGGATAATGGCGGTCATCTCCTTCTCTTGGACCGTGTAGCACCGTTCCGTCTCATTGAGCTTTCGGCTCTCGAAGGCGATCGGATGCCCCTCTTGCATCAAGACCCCTCCAATTGCAAAGTCGGAAGCGTCCGTGTGAAAAAGTTCGAACGACTTCCCAAAATCTGGTAAGGCGAGGACCGGCTCTTGGCTCATCGCTGCCTTTAAGTCCTCGAATGCCCGTTGACATGAGTTGGACCGCTCCCTCGTCTTCTTCTTCTTGAGCAAGTCGATTAGTGGTGCCACTCGTGCCGAGTACCCTTTTATGAACCGCCGGTAGTAATTAATTAGACCATTGAATGAACGTAGTTCGGTTACCTTTGTCGGCGGTTCCCACTCAGTGATAGCCTTGATCTTCGCTCCATCCATTTGGAGTCGCCCGTGTCCGATAATATGCCCCAAGAATCGGACCTTCTCCTTGGCAAACTCACACTTTTCCTTCTTCACAGAGAGCTCGTTCTCCCGAAGTACTTGGAAGACGCTGCGAAGGTGGTTGGCATGCTCATCCATAGTGTCGCTATAAACAACAATGTCGTCTAGATAGACCACCACGAACCGATCCAAGTATGGATGGAAGATCTTGTTCATGAGAGTGCAAAATGTTGTCGGGCGTTGGTTAGCCCGAACGGCATGACGAGCCACTCGTAAGAGCCGTATCGAGTGATGCA